GGGGGGGGGGGGGGCGCAGCAGAAATGGGGCAAGTCGAGAATCAGCCTTAAAGCATGGCAACCAATCCCCACCGTAAAATGCCACCCTGCATGATGCCTGACGGACCGCAAGAAGCTTTATAGCTGCGAGTGTTAACCCATTTACATATGAGGAAGCCCAGGCCAAGAGAGGTGGAGAGATACGTGCCCAAGGTATGCAGGGGAGAGAGGGGTCAGAGCCAGAATTCAAATCCAGGTCCATGTGACATGCCTAGCCCAGTGCCCTAATCCTCACACCTCATTCCCAAAGAACCAGGGGGTCCAGGGTGAACTGGGGGTGGGGGATAATGAAAACCCAAAGTGGAAATCTTACACTAAGTGGCAGAAACAACAAAATGAAAGAACAGAATTTCCTCAATTTTAACTTTTTTTCTCCCAGTTTTCCTTCAAGTTCTGGTGGCTCTTACCACCTGGACCACCAGCTAAAGGCAGAAACTGGGCTCAGCTTAAGGGCATCCTTCTTTGTAAACAGAGGCCCCTGGTTTTGTTTTATATCACCGTCTTATTTTTCTGCTAAATGCTTCTAGTCGGTACAAACGCAGCCCGTTTCTTAGGGCTGCCCACGGAGCAGTTAACATCTCTGTGAACTAATGAAGTCTCTGGATCCCAGACAGCATCAGGCAGCCTCATGGCACGTTCTAGAATGCTCGACACCTCTGTGCCCAGAGGCTGACCAGGATGGGCTAGGGCAGGGCTCCTCACACAGGGCCTGGTGGGAGAATCACCTGGCTACTTGCTAAAACAGCCTGCAGGCTCTCCCCCAGAGACTGTGATTCAGCAGGTCTGAGCCGCACGCAGACACTGATTAGCCCCGAACCACCTCAGTGGCCCCCTTGCCCTCTGCTTCTGATTTGGTGGGGTCCAGGGAGGAGAGTGAAGAATGCCCCACTCCCTCTCCGAGAGCTGTAGCCAAGGTGACCCTCCCGGTACACCTCCAGGTCTGGTAACCAACCTTCCCTTCCTAGGGTGCGTGCCCCTTTGCCATGTGACTCTGGCTCCTCCCAGCAAGAGGTGGCGGCTATTTTTCCATCCCCTGATGCCAGCCCTGGCCATGTGACCTGCTCTGGCCAATGGGATAGAAGCAGACACTGAAAAGTGGCTGGTGCCTGGGGGCTCCAGCTGCCCTATGGTGCTCAGTGTCCCCTAAGCAAAAATGAGACCACAGGCAGCAGAGATGAGCCATCCCTCCCCACCAACTAGCCTGCCAGCCGCCAGTCACATGAGGCCGCCCTACACCCTACTGGCCAAGCCAGTCCAGAAGAACCAAGGTCCTGTCCTACGATCTTTGCACATATGAAGTCAGTAGAATCATCACATCAGTACTGTAATATAAAATCTACTGTTAACTGCATTCTATTGGCAAGGAAGCAGAGGCACAGAAGTTATATATTCTGCATAGGATACATAGCAAATAAGCGGCAGAGACGGAATTCAAATGCAGAGGCCACGCTTAACCATTATGTCCATAGTGCCCGTCAAAAGCCCCCCACCCTCAACCAGCCTCCTCCCCAGGAAACAGATGCACTCCCCTCTGCTCTCCACACTTTTTTTTTTTAATGTTTTTATTTATTTTTGAGACAGAGAGAC